TAGCTGCACCCCAGACTTCCCTTACACGGGGATCAGGATCCCAGTTAAGTTGGACCCCAGAGGTAGAGACAGCGTTTCTACGTCTAAAACAAGCCTTCTGTGCGGCTCCCATTCTTTAACAACCACACCATGAAAACCCCTTTGAGGTCGAGGTTGATGCCTTGGAAGCGGGTGTCGGAGCTATCCTCATTCAGAGGGATCAGGTAACCGGTCGTCAATATCCGTGTGCCTATTTCTCTAAGAAGTTTACCTTCACAGAATGGAATGACGACGTCGGGAATTGGGAGCTCTTGGCCATTAAGCTGGCTTTAGTGGAGTGGAGACAATAGCTCGAAAGGGCTCATCATCCGTTCCAGGTGTTCACGAACTACCGCAACCTGGAATATCTACAGAACGCTAAGCATTATTTTTACAACATGGCGCCTGTGATTGGCTGTGCCTCGGCTCGTCTCCTGTTGTTTAAGCTATTAATGATCATTTTCTCCACATACGTGATTATTTCGGCCCGAGTAACTGCTGAATGTGTCCTGGCTTTATGGACTTATGATCAGGATTCGTTGTTTTATATCAGAACGTTGATGAACCTGTTTGATAAATCTCATAAGTACAAACAGGCGTTTCCTCCTCTGTTTATAATTGATCAAGACTCACCTGACTATTTACTGCTATGTCGGGTACCGGACAAGCCCCGTAGGAGATCCAGGAAGAGAGGTTCTCGGTCTGGTGTTCAGGTTAAGCGAAGGCGTGCTGTAGCACGTGGGAGCTCCGCTGTCTTCGGCCGCCGGGATCGAGCCCGATGCCTACGCTGGATTCCTCTCCTCAAGGTGTGCGACGGCGTAATCATGCCGCCGCCTGCTCAGACTAAATCAAGTGTCCTGGATCTTTCACAGCATTGGAGCTGTGGTCAGGGTTTTTTGTTTCCATCATTTACTTCCGTGTTTGTACCGGCTCTATCTGCATGGACCAACTGGAGTGCACATGACCGTCGGACCTGCCTTCGTCCAATCCCCTTGCGCATCACAGATACTGCCCTTGTGACGACATCTGAAATTCATGTCGGCTTGCTGAATGCTCGTTCTATTGCTAATAAATCGCATTCATTGAACAATCTTTTTTCAAGAGAAAATCTGGATATTTTGTGCCTTTCGGAGACATGGCAGAGAGAAGAAGAGTTTATTTATTTGAATGATCTCTGTCCAGCTCATAGTTCTGCCGTTGGGAAGCCCCGCCCCTGCCGCCGGTCTGGCCCTTGTGCATAGAAATGACTATAAATGCAATGTGGTCCAGTCTCAAGAATTTTCTTCTTTTGAATTGCACATTGGTAAAAGTGGGTTCCTCATCCCCTTTCTATTGTGTGTTGATTTACCGTCCTCCTGGCCCTGCTGCTGTCTTTTTAAAGGATTTTGGTGCCTTCTTGTCCTCGATTATAAAGTTAGAATCTGTTTTAATCCTTGGGGATTTTAATCTTCATGTTGATGACGGCTCATCTTGTCCTGCAATGGAACTTTTAACATTGACTGAAGCTTTTAATTTTGAGCAGCATGTTTCTGAGCCAACCCACCAGAGAGGCCATATTTTAGATTTGGTTTTTACTCTTGGCCTTGACATTTTAAATATGTCTGTAATTGATGTCCATTTGAGTGATCATAGTCTTGTCTTGTTTGATCTTTACTTTAGTCCTGAGCCCAAGCCTTTAGGAGTAAGGTCTCAGAGACGTCTTATCACTGAAAACACTTGTGTTAGCTTTTCTGTTATGTTTGACACTCTTTTATTCAGGGATTGTCTTG